GGATATGAAAGTAGGTGGCATATCTCATGACAAAATTAAGGTCTGTGAATTCAAATCTTAGCCTGTAACCGAGGAGTCTGCAGTCCAAGAAGCCACTGGCCAGTGCTCCAGGTCACCTTGTCCTCTGTGCACTGCAGAGTGGGGCATTCACTTGAGTCAGAGGGTAATAACTTGGAAGTGGAAAAGGTCATTTTATTTTTTACTGTGAACTCAGTTCAAACACTGATTCTAACAGTTAGCTGTGAAGAGTGACCTGGGCAGGAGGAACTTAATCTGGCTGCCAAATAGGGATCGGAATCATGCGTCCTATAGTTTGGTAAGGATTAGATGGGATGTGTATGTGTCCAGCGTACCGGGGAGGTCAGCAAAGGCCAACGGCTGTCACGCAGTGTCTGGCAGCGCTGAGCACAGAGAAGAGGGCTCAGCTGTTTTCTGCTGACATGTTCCGGCTCCTGATTACTCTCTGCTTGGTAAGACTCCATCACTCACACATCATCAACAGTCTCTCTCTACAAAGTGCTTGCTTGTGATCCTCCAAGCTACCAGGGAGGAAAGTGACTATTGCGTGTTTTAGAGATAAGGCATCTAAATCTAAAAACTTAAGGGTATTAGCCCAGGGAACCAGGTGAGCATCTTCTATAAAGTGGGCCAAGAATATTTCCCAGGACCCCTAGCCAGTAGAGCTTTCAAACCTTTGCGCTACTGTCCTTCCCCCACAGAGGCCAGTGTAACAGTGCAGCCTGCCCCACGGGCCACCAGGGAACAGCCCATTCCCCTCACATGACCCAGGGAACAATACCGGAGTGGGGCTGGACAGCTTCCGCCTGTCCAAGCCCCTGCTCTCGAATTCTCTGCTTCACAGGAAGGGACTTCTCTTGAGAAGCTGAGTTATACTTTAGAACTGATCCTTGGAAGGCTTACTGCAATATTATGTGATTATATGATTATTGATGTAGTCCCAGCTGAGCCTGTAGGATCCAAAAACTTCAAGATCTCTATCTACACTTACAGGTTTGATCAGCAGTCCCCCACATCGTTTACACACACACACACACACCTCTCAAATATCTCTTTTAAGTTCCAGACCACTTTTGGATGTGACTATGTTCTCTCTGCTTTGACATCCCTGAAGCGGCCTAAGATCACAAGTCTTGTAGTTCAGACGGGACATAAAGTATGGACTCTGAAGGCCATCTCATGTGCTCAGAATCACGCATTTAAAGGTCAAGTTGATTTAAAATATGGACCAAACAGAACATAGCATTTAGAAAGGGAGCTTTCTTCACCCAATTCTAATTGATGTGATGGATATTTTCATGTTTATTAGCAATGCTAATTAAGCCAACGCATATTTTTTTCATGCTATTTCTCTTTTTCATTTGGGTCTATGACAATTTGTAAAAAATAAATACAGAGTGAATGATGGTAATAAATCATGATCACAGTCTCTTGACTTAAGATAAAGGAAGCCCCGAACAACATATTGCCCATTTTAGACACTTCATTTGTGGACTTTATATACAAGATGAATTTAACAACTCCTCAAAGTGAAAAATAATTTCTGTTTCTATCATTTTTTTATACTTGTAGGGTCTAGGTCAGTAGTAATAACAAAGAGGTAGCTTGCAGGGGGGCTTTATTTGGTACCCCCGTAACCATCATCAGACTCACATCATAACAACCCCAAACGGAATAGAAAAAAATACAAACCAACCAGATGAGTACACTGCGTGCTATTCAGACTCGGCTCTGGAACCGTCCCTGGCCTGCGCCTTCCAGAAGATACTGTCTCAGAGCTTCTCCTGCCCACAGTCTAGAGGCCCCACTTGGCCTGATACATCTGGGCTCACATCCTCACCATAACCATCATTGTCATCTGTACGCATCTGTGTCATCGTTTGGACATAACATGGAACGGCGGCACAAACACACAAAATAAAAACATAAAACAAGCCACTTGGACAAGGGACTCATTTGCACAAAAATGCTAGACCAGTGGCCTACACTGTGATCTTTGTTGAGCTACGTAATTTTTCTAGGCCTCAGTTGCTCAGCCTATCTATCGAAGGAGGGGCTGGAAAGGACTGATCTCAGGAGTCTTTCGCTATGCTCATAGCCCTGGATTCCTGGGTTCACCAAACATCTGAATCTGGTTTGGTATCAACACCTGCTGCTGCTCCGATACATCCGGGCCCCTGATGCCACCTTCAGCCACTTCTCTGGGGAAGCGAGACACGCTTACAGAGCAGAATGATGACAGAACATGGGCCTAGATGTGGCGCAGGAGGGTCCCCGGCCCTGCGACAACTTCCGGCCCCCCTCCACCGGGTGGAAGGCTGTGGGGGACGGAGACAGCATGAGAGCTGCACGCCCGGGGAGCTGGGGGCCCCAAGAAGCACGCGTTCAGGCTTCTCTCACGTCCCACCTTCTTCCTTTACTTACACTCACAGTGGAAACAAAGGAAAATGTTTCAAAAGGAAAGTTCTTGGCTCTTTCTTTTTTTCTTTAACACAAAAGGGACTTATCTGGAGAAGGGAAAGAAAATGCAAAACAGCGAAGCGGACAAGGGGCTTTGGGCCGCTGCAGGAGGCCCCCCGCCTCTGCTCCAAGGGCCGGTCAGGGCCCAGCACCGGGGCCGGGGCTTCCGGCACTGGCCGCTGCACCAGGCCAGCCTCCGTCAGCAGAGTGCCGGCCCCATAAGTGGATCTAATTAGGGCTGCAGACTTCAAAAAGAGGATTTAACCCGAAGCAGATTTAGCAGGGGAGTGTGCAAAGACAGCAGCACCCTCACGCCTGACCTTTGAGAAAATCCTTAAAGCTTCACTGCCTCGGGCCTTCAGCAGGTCAGCCACGGTGGAGGCCCCGGAGGGCAGAGAGATCTAGAGATGCCAACCTCAGTTATTAGAGTCTTGGTGGGGTGTTTGATTAGCATACGGGGTTCCTGCTGACTGGTCAGGGGGTCTGATCTGGGAAAAACGTTGACAGTTTATACTGAAAGTATAGAGCCCTTAAGTATAACCTGTGGGGTCAAAAATACAATTTTGAAACCTTCAAGTGGTTTGATATTTAAGGGAGAGTAAAGGTCTCTTAGTGAGCTCCTACCTAAAACCTGAAAGTCCGGTGACAAATTCGTGGTGCTGATCAAAGCATCAAAAATACCTTAAGACAATGTTTTTAAAATTTTACTTTGATTTAAAAAAGCTTCTACACAGCACTTTGCTTGAGGGAAATGGTTGTTGTAGTTATTTTAGGAAAACTAAACTCCAAAAAGGGGACAGGGGATTGGAATTGTTCTTCTAGATAACATGAAATTAGTAAATAAACGTGTCTGGGGTCAGCCTATTGGATAATGAATATAAAAGTACTTTGTGAACTGGAAGGCTCTCCACCGTGTGTTTTTATTTCTTATGCTCACAGAACACACAAACTAGGAAAACAGAAAAGAAAGAAACAGAAACAACCTGGGCAGGCGGAGGCTCTCTACCTGCACTGCATTTAAACCGATGATTCTAAGGGAGCTGGTGCCCTGGGCATTTGGCTCAGGCAGAAAAGACAGGCATGTCTGGTTCTAAATCAAATAATTCATACAGTGATCAGAAAACGATTAGTGCACACAGGCCTTCTTTAATGTTGTTTGATTTCAGATCTTTTAAAAAGTCAGGATTAAGCAAGTTGCTACTCACCCACCTGACCACATTCCCCCACAGGGCACCTCCGCGGGGCCCGTGTACATCTGTGTGACTTACACTGTCGTCGGGCCCTGGTCTGCAGTGTCTGTGCTTCGGGCTGGGAAGATCACAGAGGTGGAGGATGGAGAGTCTATTCTCACTGGTTATCAAAAATCTGTCAAACCAAACCATCTGTTCAAACATGAAGCTGATAAGCCATCACTTACGGGAGCAGAAAACACGCTTAAAAAGACCGTAAACTGAGAGTATTATACGTAACGTCCAGCCATTGTCCTTCTCAATTCTCCTCACCCAAGGGATGTGCCAGGTCCAATCATAAGTAAACAAACCTGTTCTGTTCCACGCTTTTATTTACTCTTACCACGACAGCTTTTCCTTGTAAGTTAACTAGTCTGAGAAAACCAGATACCCTTTTTGTAACTAAATAAATAATAGCGCTGGGATTAATAAACCCATTCACAAGTGGATCTTAATTTGTGAATCCTAAACAAAGGAGCAAACACTCTTGGTAACTCAAAGCATCAAGATTCATTGTCACTGTTTCAGATTTTGGAATTCATAGACATAACCTTTTAGCAGAAGGAAGGAAAAGGAGAGAATAAGCTAAAACAGTAGATGCTGAGAAAACTGGGTGGTATAAAAGAGTTAATAATACAGCTTTTCAATTTGGAGTCCGCTTCAAATGCGGCAATCCCTGGGCTAGAAAAACTACCCACCAGGGTAAAAATCAAGGCTTGACGCGCTGAGTTTTTATTTTGTTTCTTTACACTGAATTTTGAGATATGCAGCCCTTAGAAAGTTAAGCAGGTAGCTCTAGTCATTAAGTAATTTATACACAATCAAATATTAAGATTTTCTACAATGATATTAAGATTGCATAGGATTCATTTTAAACTGCTAAATTTAATAATCTGCCTTCCTGAATAAGTGGATTTCAACCTCAAAGAGGAAAAGGAGATTATTTACAACCAAAGGCAGTTAGTAGAGAGGTTTTTCAAATGTAGAGGCTTTATTGATCAAGTTCAAATGTAAGCTTCCTAATGGTTTTAACGGTTTTCAAATGTAACCAACTTTATGGCTGTTTGGGTTTCCGCAGCAGAGAGGGAATGAGGTGTCCTCCCTACACGCACCCCAAGGTGGTCACGTTATAATTCCAGGAAGTGGGTCTCACTTTCTGCAAACCATTCAGGTCACAAACTATTCAGAATTCATAATTGGAACATGGGCGCCTGCGGGGGTCGCCGCGGGACCGCGGCCCGACCCCGACGGGAGGGGCAGAGAGGACGGGGCGAGGCGCCCCGCGCACCTTACCTCTCGCGCTCCTGCTCCAGCAGGTTGGTGAAGTCGTCGCTCTTGCTCATGTAGTCCGTGTGCTTGTGCTTCTCGGTCTCCAGCTCGCACACCGTGCGCCGGTGGCACTTCTCGGCCAGCAGCAGCTGCTCCAGCATGCGCCGGTAGGTCTCCTTCTGCTTCTCCTCGAGTCTGTCCAGCTGGGGACGCACACGTGGGAGAGAGCTTAGCCCTGCATTTCATTTGCATGCGACTCGAAATCACTTGCTGATGTCGCTCCGGCGACCTACTCCCTGAGGGCGGAGCGCGGGGTCGGGCCCTCGTGTTCTCCCTGCTCCCCGGCCCCTTCGCCCCGCTGGCTTCAGACGCGAGCCGGGTAAGCGCAGTGACCGGCCCCTGGCCCTCCCTCTGGGCACGTGCCTACGGCTCCTCATCTTTCAAGAGAACAAACTCTTTCGCTGTTTTAATGGGGTGGCACAGGCCGTACTCTCGATAAGGAAGAGGGCAATATCCCCTCTCACCGCAGGAACGCGAGAGCCCAGCACACCCACCCACGTACCAAACTGCCCCCCTGGGAAGTGATGACACCATCGCACTCTTCTTTAAGGCCTAGGGAAAGTATAGAACCACAGTCCAGTTTTTTTCAAGGGACGCTAAATATAGGGAGGGTTTCTGGACTCAGGGAAAGCACATACCTCAGACGTACAGAGATCTCAGCAGATGTTCTGACAGGGCTTCCCTGCCCATTTCTCTGGCCAGGCTCTGGGATCTTTACGGGTCATGCACTGACCACCTAGTTAGTCCCTAGAGCCTAGCACAGTGCCTGAGCAAAGTACCCAGTACATGCTCATCAGGTGGGCCGATCTTACCACACTGATTGCTCCCTCCCTCCCCTCCTCCTCAGGCTTAGCGCAGGACCCCAGCCTCAGCTCTGCTGATACTTCAGGCCAAACCGTTCTCCGTCCTGGGGGCTGTCGGGGCTCTGGGGGATTTTAGCAGCATTGCTGCGCCCGCCCCATGCAAGCGGAACCACCCCCAGCTGTGACGACACTACTCTCCCACGCTGCCAGGTGTACCTTGGAGGGAAAAAATCACCTCCCCCCACCCCCGAGTTGAGAAGCTCTGCTCTGGTTGGAACAGACACATTTAAAATCCATTCTCAATCCCCAACGGGCTCCCTCAGCCCAGAGGGGCAGCTCCGCAAGGCGTCTGCACCACGCTCTTCCCTGGGCCCCCGTGTCTGCCCTTCTGTGGTAGCAGGACCCCGTGGTCCCTCTCCAGCCACGTGGCATCGTCACATGACGGGCCATTTCGGGACCCCAGGACAGGATGTCTGTCACCCTCTCTCCCTTTGCCTGGAGCCGGCAACCCGGTGGACTGCTGGGAAGCCCAGGTGAGCGGCTGGCTGGCTGGGAACGTTTGAGACCATCAGAGACGGGCAAACGGCACTTCTGTAAGTCCTGATGAATTTCTGTGGTCTTAGAGGAACAATCTACACAAGAGATTTCCTCGCTGAAATATCTCCCTACTACAAAATATTCACGGCTTCTTTCTACAAATGAGCTTTTCACCGTATTTTCCAGAATTTATCAAGCGTTGCTGAGATGCAGCATCATCATTGCCATCGGAAGTGTACAAAGAGCAGCCCCTTCCCTTTCTGATCCTTCCTCCTTTCTCATGAAGTAGAACCTCCCACCTTTTGAAATTATTTGGAAGGTCAGCCTCTGCCTCTTAGCACCCTCCCCCACTCCTCCCTAAGGAAGGAGGTGTGACCTATCTGAAGGTCATATCTACATAGGGAACTGGCAGTGAGCTGCTCAGCCCTTTCATTTCTCATTTTTTACCCTTCTTGCTGTAGATGGTGTGCTGTGCTCTGGAGGTCCACACTTTCTATGTCGTGGTTTCTCCAAAGCCTGGAGGGAAAGCATTAGAAAGCCCGGTGGTGGCCGTTCACCTACTCATGCCAGTCCTAAAGCTCAGTGTTCAAAGTCGTCTGTCAGACTCCCGTGGTTACCCCTCAGTCCATTCAAGGACCTCTGGCGGGGAAGATGGGGAATTGTTAGTTGGATGGTTGACTGAGACACCCAGGGAGAGGGACACTGTCAGCGCATCTGGAGGAAAAACAGCACATGTGGGTGTTAAGTGTTCTGGGGGAGCCTAGGCAGGAGGTGGGCGTTAGCTTCAACGTGCTCCATCCCCGTGGGCTCAGTCGCTGTCGGCAGCTGCCGTCCTGGGCTAGGTCCCTGGGAGCCGGGTCTCCGGGTGATGCTCATCTCACCCAGCCTAGCACGGTTGGACCCCAGGACTGATTCCATGACCAGGAAGACAGTCGTTCTGTCTCCCAATGCACAGGAAGCACGTGCAGACACTGGTCTGTGCACTGCGTTTTCATCCACAACTACAGACCCAAATTTTGAACTGCAGAGGCAGCAAATTCCTCTTTAGCACTAAGGCATTAGTGGGCGAGCACCCAGCTTTCAATGTAATTCTGGCTGGAAGAACAAACAAGGGGCGAGCATCTAGCTTTCAGATTTAATTTCTGGCTGTAAGAACTACCACAGGAGTAGCAGGCCAGCTGCGCCAGACGCTGTTTCTTGTCACTTCGCTTGAAACTGTGGCACGCTCCTAGGAGACCCCTGAAGTGGGCTGACTGCTTCGATCTGTTTGGCTTGTTTGGAGACCCTGAAGGCCGCCTCTCAGAACCACGGGCTCTCTGATTCACTCGTCGTGCATGGTGTCCGTGGCTTTTGGTTTTCAGAATCCAAACTGGGGCTCAACCAAGAGGAATAGGAACTCTTACTAACGAACCGGGAAAGTGAAATGGGCGCCTATTACTTTGGAAAATAGCCCCCATTTGGATGGAGGAGCAAGGAAAATGGAATGAGATCATCATAACACTGAAGGCCAAAATCTGCTAAGGAAAGAGTGTACCTGGAAGTCTTGTTCTAAAGAAGTTTTTAACGTGCAGGTGGAAAAGCAGAGCACCTAAAATCAGGGCTCGGCACAGAAGATGCCACCACTTCCTACTGCAAACCCCTCATACTGCAAACCCCAAACTTTGCAAAGCACCACTCACTGAGGGCATAAAGAGTACATGCGAACAGATTCCTCCTCCCAGCCTAGGGTCTGTCGTTTCTCAGTTATGACCCTTTTGATGGTAACAGGCTCTGATGTGACAACTGCCCCAGACAGACAAGGCCGAAGGTCTCCTCTGTCCACCCTCCATCCCCAAGACATCCCCAGGGTGTCTGCTTGGTCTTGGTAGGAGTGACATGGGCCTGAGCCCCGGGGTCGAGGAATAGCATCTTGCTTGAGATAAACTGGCCACAGAGCTGGGGATTCTCTTGTGTTTTCAAAATATATGAGTGTGAGGTTGGCACTGTAAGATAAATTCTAGCCGAAATAAGCAGGCGAAGAGAGGTAACAAAGGGCCAGGCAGTTTATTTGAATGCAAATACCTGGGCGAGATTTCCCCGGTCTATAGAAATGGAGGCTGGGGAATTCGCACGTAAGTAGACAGGCAGCGAGTTTTTAAAGAAGGCAGGGGGAGGCAGAGCTTAGATTTACAGCGGCGCGAGGATTGGCTCGCCCAAGGCACATTTTTCAGGTTGGCAGGGGGCAGCAGCTGGGGACTCTGACACGTTATCAGGGTCCGATATGCTTGCTCCTCCCATCAGTGCCCCCAGCCTTACAGGCACTGCAACAACTGCATGTGCACTAATAATGATCCTTTGGACTCAGAGGGGAAAAAAATTGAATAGAGAGACATGAGGATATATTCATTCAGCTTTAAAAAATGCTCAAGGTTAAGATGCCTCTGGCTAAGAGTAAGCAGGATAAACATTTGGGAAGGAAAGAAACTAAAATCTTAATTTATTGGAACTTCGCTTAAGAATTTTGAACTTTGATATCCCAGACTTTAATTTACAAGGAAGCTCAGGAAGGTCGGATATTTGTTGCTTTATTTCTCCCCAGACACTTGGCAAGGGAGGGGCGTCACCCATACAGGCTCGCTGCTTGACCTCTGGGGAGTCCTGCTGCACCCCAGCTGGGCCCAGTTTGGTCTTGGGAGTGGAATGAGGAGCGGTTTGTCTGGCTTGGGGTGCTGCCTGGCCTCTAGGAACAAGAGCTACACTAGCTGCTCTGGATCCCAGGAGGCTAAGGGACTGGTGATAAACTGAGGTTCTTGCCTCAAAAAGTGGGAAGTCGGTTTCCTGCTCATGGGTAACAAGAACTTCATTGTTAAGCCCCAAATACTAAGAGACCAAAAGTCTGTAGATGGTGAAAGAGAAATCTTTCCTCCTAGCATTCTGCGTCTGTCCCCGAGCAGGACTTCAGTGGCTGGCCAGCCCTGGGAGGGCAGCTTCTGTCCCTCTACGAACTCACTCTCCCCTCCCTGACTGACTTCAGATTGTTGGGCTGCAGGAGAGAGGAACCAGGAAGAGTGCCCAGCTCAGCCAATACAAAAAGACAACTCGCAGGCGGGCATTTTCTCCTTCGTTCCTCTGTCCGTGAACAGGAACACTGGGTTAGACCTACTTTCCGAAGGTAGGCCAGAGGCTCCTTTGTCTGCTGCCCATGACCTCTGTGCACGGGAGGCAGGCATGGGTGCTCTGCAGGTCTCCCTCTCCCTTGAGAGGTCACCCCAAGCTCTAACTTGGGAGAAAGGAATTAGGAAGCCCAAATAATACCATTTATCCAAACGGAGTTCTCCAATCCAGGCAATCATAAGTACATTTAACTAATATTTGACGTGTATACGTCTTTTACTCAAACTCCTCCGAATTTGGAACTAATTAAGGTCACCCTCACACCAGCCCACAGTGGTTAGTACCCGTTGAGCACCTAGTATGTAGGAGGCGCTCTGCTCAGAGCCCTGCAGGCATCGCTCCATGCAGACCTCACGGCTCTGGGATGCGCATGGCTGTTACTCCCATCTGGCCCACCGGGGAACTGGGACCTAACAAGTAGAGGTGGCCCGCCCAAAGCCCATGCAGCGGGTTGCCGCGGGGCTCAGACATGACACGGCTCCAGCCTGTGGACTATTTCCTATCATAGAATCATCTCCTAGCATGTCAGGGAAATATGAGCACAGAGCTCCAGGCTGTTCTTGCCACAGAGCGAGAACCTCACGGGCCGTCCATCTGCTGTGGGGACAGTCTCAAGCTGGTCTTGTCTGAGATCTGCCACACTGAGCTGCCACAAAGGCTTGACATAAATGAGACGTTAAACTACAGTCAACTGCTCCAGACATTTAAGTTCTGCAATCTTTTTTCATTTATGGTACTAATTTCTCATCTGTGAATTTTTTTACAGGAATTCTGAAGAGTTAATGTGGCTAGATCCATCCACTGGTTCCCTAATTTTACTACAGTGTGACAGCATTTTTAACATGCAGTATTATGGGTAACTAAGAATAGTCACTTGTTTCTAATACAGTCTTATATAACAATGATTAAATATAGCTCTACTGGATTTTCTTTCATCTTAAAGAATAGCTTTCACTATTCCATTAGGAATACTTAAGTACAATGCTTCAACCACTGTATTTTAGCTACTCACATGAGACCATTTTCATCATGACAGAGTCTATAAAGATAACAAAAAACAGTGACTTTATAACCATAAACATCAATAATAAGATCAGTTTAATTCTAGATTACCAATCTGATAATAATCCTGACAACTCAATGCAAAATGGATAAGCTCTTCACATTTTTACACATATCATCTCTTGGAAAAAGACAAGAAAAAGGCTCCAAGAGCGTGTAACTATCATGACCACATGAGAAAGACATTATCAGGCTTTTAGTGAGGAAATGTTTCTAAATTCTTACCACTGAGATGTACCCATTATAACCCATGAATTCCTTAATTACACTTTGATTCTGTATGAGTGTATCATAAAAATCTTGCCTGTGGGATAAAATGTTAAAGCATTTAAAATGGAAGAATGTGAAGGTGCCGCTGGGGCCCCCCTTCTAGGGAGGCTGGTGGGTGCCCTGCTTTTACCTCTGAAATCGGTTTCTCGTAGACATCTCCCCCGAGGGACTTCTCCCGGGCGAGGAGGGCGTCACGGTGCAGTGCCCGCAGCACCTTCCCTGGCTCCGCAGACCCGTAATGCGCCTCCAGAACCTCGGGCTTGGTTTTCTCTGTCCTCAGCAAGTGGAGCACGTCCTCCCTGGCCTGTGGGGGAAAGCGCAGCAGGTCAGATGGCTGGCGACACAAATCAGAGGCCAGGCCCACGAAACCGCTGTGGAGCTCACTGGATACACCCCCGTCTCTCCAGGACTCTTGGCAGACTCAGTGGCATGTTGTTCTTATTTTTCACCAAAAGCAGATTGGCAAGCAGATAATTCTGCTTCAGGTTGCTAGGAAGCAGGCGAGCATGAAAAGGGTTTGTGCTAATATTAACTACATAGAAACTGCTTTATCTAAGTGGCAGTGACTCTGAGAGCGGGTAGGACTGCTCCTGGGATACCTGCCCTGCTCCTGGGCACATGAGGTCAATGGCAATTTAAAGTTTTCTAGTTTTCTGTTTGATATCTCAATGTAGTATTCAAATATGGTTTGAAATAAAACTCTGCTCTCCCCATTCTAGTTGACTCCATAATTAACAAAATGAACATAATTAATGAAAATAGCTTCTATCAGTGACATCCTGTTTCCTAGCAAGTGATTCATTTTGCACAGAACCTTGTTTGGGAACCACGTTGCATGGGCAGGGCTTTTCAGCATAATGTAGGCACACTGCAGGGGCAATGTGACTCGTGTAATATCCACACTGCAAACCAGATGGTCAGGCAGGTGCGGTAGGGGTTGTTCTTTTGGTTTCTTAGCAAAACTTCAGCGTCTTGGTAAAGCTCTTGAGAAAGCCACACGGTCCAGGCTTTATAGCCCACTGGTTGTGACACCTATCACATAATGCAAACATATCTGGGCCTATTTTCTACTGGTTAGTAGTGATGGACTTTCTAGTTAAGCTGGAGCCGATGATATTTACTATATGTACCCCATCCTTTCATACACTTGTTTTTCCAGGAATGCTGATGGGTATGAGGTATCCTGACTTCATTCTAACTTGAAGCAAGGAACAAACTGGCCAGCAACCTAGTTTCAGCCTGTGACAATGGAGTAGAGCTTTCTCCTGGGTTATGTGAACCCTGGGCTTGAAATGCTAAACCCGGCTCTCATTATCACGGTATTCTGGACAACGGGACCAACCAGCTAGCCCTGAGACAGGACCCTTACATAGTTTGTCTTTCTTGAGGTTCCTCACTTTTATTGCTTTCTCATAGTCTCCAGATTAATCTAATTCCAGATGGCTAAAGACAACTTTATGACAGAAAAGTCAATGGACTGGAATTTGCTAATTTTTCCCATGTTGTCTCTGACACATACACACATGCTCATTTCAAGACAAAAAATGGAGAATATTAATTTTGAAGAATCTAGTGTTTTGGAATCAGCAAGAAAGTTTAAGTCAGAAAGTAATTTAGTGAAAAGGCAGTGTGAAAGGATGTAAGCACAGGCACAGTGCGAGGCAAGCCTGCCAGGGTCTGTGCGCAGATGAGAAGCACGGCCCGCTTCACCCAGCAGATGCAGCCGGCGCCAGCGGGCCGCCGCCGGGCAGGCCAAGGGGCCATGTTTCGGCCTCTGCTCCTCCCCTCTGCCAGGCGCCCTCGTGCAGGCCGGCCCCGCAGCCGTGTTTAGGGGCCCTGTACCGAAGGAGCCCAAGTCTGTCAACTGTTACTGGTCTTCACGCAGATCATGTAAATAAAGAGCTTTTAACACTGCAAACTGGTAGCTATTTCCATTTAAAAGTTTAAGTATTCGGTTTAAAAATATGTAAACATCGTTGGTGTCTATCTTCTTGACCAGATCTTCCCACTGCTCTTAGAAGAAAACAGCTTCTTTTGTTCCAACCGATGTGAAACACCTTTTTCTTCCCTCCCCCAATATGTGCTTATGCTTAAAATGTGTTAATCGTGATATGCTACATAGACCACACATTTCATTCACAGCCTCATTACCCTAGCCCCTAATCACCAAAGAAAAAGAGGCTCTGGTGATGTATTTTATAATATATAATACTGTGCATTATATGTTTAGAACCACACTATTCATCATGAACTTGCTAAAAGCTTTTCAACTGCTATCAGAATAATCATGAAGGAATACAAATGTTGCCTATAAATTACTGCTATTTAAAATGATTCAATATGGTAAATCAGTCATTAATATTGTGGTATCTGTTTAATCAGTGGATTAATGAAGACTTTGTGATCACAATAAATTTTCACTACTTTGAACACATGATTCAATCTACATAAATAAGATTCTACATTTTGGGGATAAAACCACTTTACAGCTGCATTTGGAGAAACTTGTTAATTTTTCTGTAAAAGAATAGAAGTCAAAAGGTAAGAGGTTCCTGTTCTTGAACATTTCTATTTTCACACAGAAGTTTTATCAAAAACAGGTAGTTAAAGTCTTAGGGTGCTGGAGAGCTGCGAAATAGACCACTGTATTTAAACATCTGTAAGAGGGCCCAGAAGGAAGAACACTTTGAAGGAGACTCTAGAAAAGGGAGAGAAGGAGGGGCAGAGAGTTCATAAAAATTGTTCAATTTATTTAGTCCTGACGACGGAGGAGAACGAAAGGTCGTTAGGGATGGAAACAGACACGGAGGAGTCCCGTCCTTCCCTCCCACCATACAGGGTGCCTCTGTGTGCTGAGGGAGGCTGTGGAGGTCCCCTGGAGGTCCCCCTGGTGGACCAAGGGGAGGTCTCAGGGGGCTGCACACAGAGCTGACTCCCAGCCTGTTGGGTTGTCAAAGCGCTGCCCTGCGAAGCCCCGGGGCCAGAGGGTGAGCATGCAGTTCATCGTCTGAAGTCAGGAGAGGGCGTCTGGGCTTTGTTGGGAGACCAGAGATGGGACTCGGGACAGGTGGAATCCACACAGCTGGCGTAGCTCAGAAGAGAGGTGGATCCAATCGATCATTTAACGAATATCTGTGCACATTGAGTTCACGTGATGTACTGCATTCATTACGGGAGAAATATAATCTCATTCTCGGGAATTAAAGTCTGGAGAAATGCAGACACTTGCAAGGCATTTGCAATGTGAGGTGATAAGCCTTAGGATGGAGGAGGTACTGGGGGCTAAGAACCGCATCTAGAAGAACCTTTCCCTTGAACGTGAGCTAACAGAGGAGGCTTCCTGGAGGCAACGCCCTGCTCACAATGATACCTGATCCAGAGAAATACATCCCGGGTTGGGCAGCTCATGAAAAGCCTCCCAAGGCCGTCTATGAGTCTTGTGTTTTATCACAGTGGGAAGCCTCAAAATTTTGAAACAGCCGGACTCGCATGGTGGAAAGGTCGTGCATCTGCTGTATCAAAAATGTACAGATTCTGACCCACAGGTCTGCAGGGGATCCCAAAGCAGCTGCTTAGAAACGCTGCTTTAGGACGGAGGGTGGACGGGCACCTGAAGCGCTTGGACGGTGGGCTGGGTGCGAGGCTTCCAGGGGTTGTCTGCGTCCCAGCGACTTGCCTGCCCCTCAGGTTTCCCCCATTCTCGCTGCGGTATCAGGTGTGCTGACCCTTTCTCTCCACAGATTCATGGTCGCGTCAGGCCAGCAGCTGTGGCCAGGAGCACCCTGCAAACTGCTGGAAGTTTGCCCGGCAAACGAGGGTGACCGACTGTCCAGTTTACCTGAGACCAAGAGAAGTGGAGTCCCACAAGGCGGGGCTTCTGAAAATCAGGGCCATCCCAGGCCACCACGGTCCCCAGCCCACGGTCACTCACCAGGCTGAACGGGAGCCTCTCCAGTTGGGAAGTTTGGACAGCCTGCCCCCTCCTAGTGACTCTGCGCTTCTTGAACAAAGCATTCCCTCCCGAGAGCTGCCGACCTGCAATAGGGGATGCCTTTGAGGAAAAAATAAACCTATGTCCGTGCTCATGGAAGCACCGGACCCTCGCATTTCCTTGTATCACCTGACCACCCGCATATGTCCTGTTCAGGCAGTGAGCCGACCAGCTGAGCCGGGATGGTCCTGGATGCCGGAGCGCGCCCACCGCAGGAGGGTCTCCCTTTCTGGGGACTCCCCTCAGCGCTCTGCATCTAGTAAGTGACATAACTTATTAGCTTACTTGTCTATTTCTTTCTTAGGCTGTGAGCTGCTATACGGACGGGACTGTGTTTGCAGCGTCTACTAAAAGATGCCTGTCTACGTGATAGGTACGGTAAATACTTGTTAAAATAAAGAAAAGGAAAATTAAGTGATGTGAAGTCAGAGAGACGTAAACTGGTACTGGAAAATCTCAGAAACACCTTAACTACTTAGGTTTGTTTAAAAGATCTAAATATTTATATTGTCAAGTTCTACTCTTTCATCTGACATTCTCGTCTACCATTTAGGAGTCGCTTTGCTCGTTTTAAGTTTACACCAAAAGCAACTATGTAAACTGAATAAGGAAAAACAGTACATTCCACCAGAATGTTGCAATAGGAAATGGACTGTCCTGGATTCTCCCACAAATTGATTGGTACTATTTATCCTAGTTAGGTAAATATGAATGTTATAAATTAACTAGAAGAAAAAAGCTATGTAATTTATGGTGGTATTGGCTATTGTGATAGAAATTAAACCCATTTTCCCCCTGAATTTTAGAAAGCAAAGTTAACATGATCAGTAACACAACAACATACAAAGAGAAGATTCAGACATAATTAGTGTAAAGGCCATTTGAGCTAAAAAAATGTGTCTTTTGGTTTCTCTGGAGAAATTTCCTCCCACAACTATATGGTCAATAGTAGCCTTAAAATCTCTATACAGCTATTCATTAAAGGTCACTCCTTTCTATCACTTGAGACTGAGTAAAAATCACAAGAAATCTTGTATTAAGATACCACAAGCAGATGCTATTTTCCATGTTAAAACCTGCTTTCATTATTACCATGATAGCTTGGATTTTTAAAAATAAAATCCCTCAAAAATCCCAATGATGTTTTTTGCAGAAATAGAAAAACACATCCTAAGATACATACAGAATTTTAAGGGACCCCAGAGAGCCAAACAGTTTTGAAAAAAAAAACAGAGCTGGACGTCTCACACTTTCTGATTTCAAAACTACAAAGCTACAGTCATTGAAACAGTGCGGTACTGGCATAAATACAG